AACAATAAAAACATTGATAGCCAATCAGAATCCATCCTGCTTTAAAGAGCTCCAGCATTTAAAGGGCAAACGATATAAATGCAGCGCACGTATAATAAACAGAATAATATTGTCTGCGGATTCTTTATTATGCAGCACACATGTCAGCAGTGTGGAAGCATTTAAACTGTCCGAGAAAGACGCAAAAATCATTACAAGCACCGACAGCGAGAGACTGTTTAGGACTGCATCGCATGTCTTCGATGAGAAGAGGAAGGGGTGATTGTTGCTGGTTTACTGTATGATGATTGAAATCATGAAATGGCCTTAAACAATTAGTAAATAAACTGCAGAACGTTATGTTTTCTAATACAAGCACGCATTGCATGTATTCTGACAGCGCTGCACGAACTCGCAGCAGATCTGCTTGTTAACCAGGGTTCAAAGTTCAAAGTACGAGGAAAATCTGCGCTGATACAGTCGTCAGTTGCTCAGTCACAGTTTTATGAATTTTTACAAGTCATGTGACAATGCGATACGTACGACGTATTCGTAATGAGACTCATTTATAAATCTGCTGTCAACAAAAATAAGCATTGAGGTCTTCCTGCGCGTTTCCGCCAAAATAAAAGTTGAGAAAAAGCAAGAACTCTTATCAACATTCATAAATGTTAGTATTGTAATTTTACTGTTGTTCTGTAAAATAAAATAAAAAGTAAGACAATAATAATGATAATAATATTACAACAGCTCTGTTAATAACATTCACACATAGTGTTCAAATTAGGACCTGTAATATTTTCTAATGTTTTAAAAGAAGTCTCTTCTCAGCAAGGCTGCTTTTAATTGTACAGTAAAAAATACATGCCTGATTCCAGAAGGGGGTCTGATGGGCAAAAAATATTATTTTGCTAACTCATTAATTTTAAGTTAAATTGTGCTTTGTTGGTATAGTGTCTGCTAGAATGTTAAAAATGTTCAGTGTTAAATATTTTTTTAATTGTTGTTTTGTAATTGATTTTCCTCTTTGAAAAGCAAGACAAAACAGTAAAAAGCACATTTTGGCTGTTTAATTTATGCAATGGTGAAAACAAATTGGCAAGAATACATGGGGAAAAAACCTCGAAAAACTGTGTTCGATATTCAGCCTTCGGCCCAGTGTTTCATTTTGTTCGGTTTCGACTTCGGCCCAGAATTTTCATTTCGGTGCATCCCTAGTCTCGGTTATCTTGGTGGTTCTAAAGATTGTCTTGTCAGATTTGCGGCACACCACACACTATAGGAGCAAAACGGTTAAATCTGGGATTTTTTGTCCTCATGTTTTTTGTCCTCAAAGGTTTGATTTTGATTTATTTGTTTTTGTTTATTTATAATTTAAAGTCAGTGGCATAAAATGGTCCTAAAATGACAATAATATCATTTATTTCTGGGGCAGTCTATCGCCCAACAAAAAGTAGTTATCCTGACAGGCCTAAGCAGATGTGTGAGGTTATGTAAGAAAAGCTGAACTGAAACAGATCAGGTCTGTAGTTGTCGTCCTCAGTTTGTATGGGATGCGTAGGGCATATAAAGCATTATAAATGGGGTCGCTCTCCCTCATGTCCTGTTGAGAAGCCTGAGGCGTCATATAGCTTCGTTCTACTTTCCCTGAGTGGCTCCAATCAGTAATGAGTACCAGCATGTCCAATTAGCAGCTTATTAGTAGGCCAGCAAGAAACAACAGTATACCTGGAGTTCTATGTGTTTTACACTGATACTGTTGTTTTTAGTGTTATTATTTGAATATTGAACAGCTCATCATCATATTATTAATAAATGGGTATTGATCAGTACTAGTGTCATTCAGCAGCATTGATAAATGTACTTCCGCTCTGGTTCTTTAAGTGCTGGTCCCACTCTGCTGAAAGGACAGCATGCTCTTCCTATTCAAGTATGCATTTGTCAAAATACTACATTGAGAAGGGGGTGATTTTATTGTATAATTGACTGTAATGGTTTTATTTTGAAATAAATAAAAAGCAATTGATCGCATCCCTGATAGTACTAGTGGTCGCCCAATATATCGCCAAGGCCGATATATCGGCCGATATTTGCCATTTTTTTAAATATCGGCATCGGCCGATAAGTTTTCCTGTTTGGCCGATGCGTTCGAGGCGGGACTTTTATTTTGACGGCGCTGAGAACGGCAGCGCCTGAGCACACAGTGCTCACATTCTCCCTCTTGTTCGCTGTCGTCGTTAACAGTTCTGTCTAAATACGGATAGAAGTCTGTCTAATAATCCGATAGAACGGTTAAACAAAGGAATTAAAATGTATACAAAAAGTATCATAACGATTGCTTTTATATTATTAGTAATAGAAAGGCAAACATTATAATACTTTCTTGTTTGCCGTCAGCATTCAGCAAATATGCATTTATGGAAAAAAAATAATGCCATATGTCTTTGAAACAAAAAGGCACTTTGATATTTCACAAACCTTGCAAACTTAGTCGGATCCAGCTGTGAGATCTTGTGAAGTGTGCGTTTGTATCCTGCATGATTGCGTGTGCTCTGCGTAACGGTCGTAATATTTGTTTATTTGTGAAAAATACTTTGTCATCTAAAGTATAAGTATGTTTATTTAATTAAACATTTATTTTGTAATCCATTTTCAAATTATTTCACATTTCTTAAATATTAATTAAAATAAAGAAAATTATATCGGCTTTATATCGGCCATCGACCACCCTGCTTTCCAAGATATCGGCATCGGCTGTCAAAAAACCAATATCGGTTGACCACTAGATAGTACTGTACACCTCAACCTACTCGGCCCCTCTATCTAAGTGCGTACTGTTTCCTACAGTAGTGATGGTATGAGAGCTTTGAACACTGACAATGTCTCGTTTCAGTCTTGGCACATGAATAACAGCAGGCCGCTCTGTGTTTAGACTGGAGAAGATCCAGAGCATACAGTACAGTGAGATCAAACATTAAATACCGCTTCCTTTTGACCGGATGACTAGACCAGAATATGTACATGTGTTTAGGTTGTATTAATATAGATAAAATGAACATTATCAATAATTAAATATTCATTTATAGGCAAAGTCTGATTTATCAATGCATATAAGTTATAAGCATAAAATACAGTGAATATATGATACAATAGCCAACAACCATTAGTGTCGTGTCACTGTTGCTTGTCAGAAAGTCTGTTTTTATTTAAGCAAGCTGTTATATCACAAAACAACAATGCATGACTTGTGTGTTGTGCAGCATACGCTGAATACATGACAAACATTTTGGACGATCTTGGATGTTCCGGATATAAACACAAACTGCATTACAGTAATTTCCCAAATTGTCATTTGTGTGGAAGTATTATGAAGCCTGTAAATGGGACATGGGGAAAATGCCATAGATGGGACACACTAAAGATGGACACAAACAGCACAGTAATGAAATATAATGAAGAATCATATATTGCACCAAGATTTTTAATAGTTTGAGATGGATTTAATAAAGGTCACATCAATAGAAAAACTGACTTTCTTTTTAAAAGAGATGGTGGACCATATACAATAACCTCAGCTTTATCATTATTAAATTTCAGAACATTATTATGTAACCAGATTTTAAATTGTCATCAATACAGGCATTTAATGAGTCAAGAGGAAGAGCAGACGCAGAGCAAGCAAATATGTAAACTTGCAGGTCATCAGCATAAAAATGGTAGCTGAGCAACTGCTCATGCTCATGCTAAGTGTGTGTCACATCTTGGTTTGAATCGACCAGTTCGGAGCAAATAAATAGCAAGTACATTTGGTATTGGAATCTATGGAAGCCCATTTCCGTCACTGAATAAAAAATAAAAAAGCTTATTGCGACTTTTTATCTCACAATTATTAATTTTCTTCTCAGAATTGCATGATACAAACTCGCAATTGTGAGTTTATATCCCACAATTCTGAGAAAAAGTTAGAATTGCAAGTTATAAAGTCACAATTGTGAACTTGCAATTTTGAGAAAAAATGACAGAATTGCATGATAAAAACGTGCAATTCTGACTTTCTCGCAAATGCGAGTTTGTATCTCACAATTCTGACTTTTTTCACGCAATTCTGACTTTTTTTCTCAGAATTGAGAGACATAAATTCGCAATTGCGAGCTATAAAGTCCAATTCTAAGGGGAAAAAAAGACAGATATGTTCTCAGAATTGCGAGTTTATATCTCACAATTCTGACTTAATAACTCAAAATTGCATGTTATAAAGTCACAATTGTGAGTTTATATCTCAAAATTCTGACTTTTTTCACGCAATTCTGACTTTTTTCTCGCAATTCTGACTTTCTCGCAATTGTGAGTTTATATCTCAAAATTCTGACTTTTTTCACGCAATTCTGACTTTTTTCTCGCAATTCTGACATCGTGCGCAAGGTAAATAAGGGTGACATCTAGTGGAGAAAACTAACGATAAGATTCACGTTAATCAGATCTTGTTTTAAATGTGCTGAAATAAATCCCGGAAAAGATCGATTCGCGGCTTTTGAGAATCGATATCGAATCGATGTCATTTAAAAAAATGATTAATCGAAAAATCACTAATCAAGGCTGCATTTATTTGATCAAAAATAGAGAAAAAAACGTTTTTAAACTTTAAAATATAATTTATTCCTGTGATCAAAGCTGAATTTTCAGCATCATTACTCCAGTCTTCAGTGTCACACGATCCTTCAGAAAATCCTTCAGATTCTAATATGCTGATTTATTATCAATGTTGGAAACAGTTGTGCTACATTTTTTTTTTCTTTTTTTTTTTTGGAACCTGTGCAGTGTGCATGGAGCTCATCAAATATAGTAGACAAAGTTTTAGTGTGAAGGGTGCATTTGATCTTCCGAAGGAACCAGTGAGATATGTCCTTGCACGTCAAGCAAGTACGGTTACTTTCATATTTGATGCTACTGTACTAGTATGTTAAAAGGTCAGTCCTTATTTCATTAGATTCTAAATTGCGATCTTTCTCCTTCTCCTCTAGGAGGCAGCATTAAGGATCGTCCCCAGCGCTCCCGGCGCTCTTGATCATCCCAGCGCTCAGCGTGCTGGCTCCTCCCCCTCCCGGCGGCAGCGTGCGCTCTCAGCCGCCCCCGTGCACCCCGCGCTCGCCAGGCCTGCGCGCCCGAGCCCATGCCCCCAGCTCCGCGCGGCCCTCCAACGCCATGTGTGTCCCGCACACTATGGAGGCGGGCAAGCACAGCGCCAGCCAGGGGCAGGGCAGCCGCGCCGGGGTCCCCCTGGAGCCGTTCATTCACCAGGTGGGCGGCCACACCAGCATGATGCGTTACGACGACCACACTGTCTGCAAGCCGCTCATCAGCCGCGAGCAGCGCTTTTACGAGTCCCTGCCGCCAGAGATGAAGGAGTTCACCCCCGAGTACAAAGGTAAGATGGATGATCTAGATGCATTGCACAATCTTCTTAAGGTGACTCGTGGTCTAAAAAGATGCTGGAAAAACTGCGAGACACAACTCAATGTGCAAGCGTGTAAAAAACATAGTGGATTCATTCCAAAAGCAGTGTTTTTTGAAAGATTTTTTTGGGCCATTTATTAAGTCAAGTCAAGTCAAGTCACCTTTATTTATATAGCGCTTTTAACAATACAGATTGTGTCAAAGCAACTGAACAGCATTAATCAACACCATCTACATAAATTACTTGTGACAGTATTAAATCTAGAGTATGATTTCGACAATGAGTAGGTCCTGAGACGTGTTGTCTAACCCCAATAGAGTTCAGAATGTCTATGAATGCTGATCCCAATGCATCTTTTTCATTATCAACATGGATATTAAAATCACCAACAATTAAAACTTTATCTGCAGCCAGCACTAACTCGGATATAAAATCAGCACATTCTTTAATAAAGTCTGTATGGTGGCCTGTATACAATAGCCAGTACAAACGACACAGGGGATTTATCATTAACACTTGTTTCTCTGGACAATGTTATATGAAGCACCATTACTTCAAACGAGTTATACTTGAAACCCGCCTTCTGAGAAATACTGAAAACATTGTTATAAATTTATTAGCTTTATTTTGATAGGATAGGCGGTAGACAGGAAGGGAAGCAGGAGAGGGGGGCCAGGATCGGAAAAGGTCCGCGAGCCGAGACTCAAACTTGGGACGACCGATGCGCCACAACGCTATGTCGAACTCGGGATGACCGATGCGCCACAACGCTATATGTCGAACTCGGGATGACCAATGTGCAAAAACGCTATATGTCGAACTCGGGATGACCGATGTGCAAAAACGCTATATGTTGAACTCTGGATGACCGACGCGCCACAACACTATATGTCGAACTCGGGATGACCAATGCTAAAAAACGCTATATGTCGAACTCGGGATGACCGATGCGCCACAATGCTATGCAATGCGCAACTCGGGACGACCGATGCGCAACAACGCTATGTCGAACTCGTGTTGACCAATGCGCAACAACGCTATATGTCGAACTAGGGTTGACCAATGCGCAAAAACGCTATATATCGAACTCGGGATGACCGATGCGCCACAACGCTATATGTCAAACTCAGGGTGACCGATGCGCCACATCGCAATATGTTGAACTCGGGATGGCTGATGCACAACGATGCTATATGTTGAACTCGGGATGACTGATGCGCCACAACGCTATATGTTGAACTCGGGATGACCAATGCGCCACAACGCTATTTGTCGAACTCGGGATGACCAAAGCGCAAAAACGCTATATGTCGAACTCGGGATGACAGATGCGCAAAAACGCTATATGTCGAACTCGGGATGACAGATGCGCAAAAACGCTATATGTCGAACTCGGGATGACAGATGCGCAAAAACGCTATATGTCGAACTCGGGATGACCAATGCTCAAAAACGCTATATGTCGAACTCAGGGTGACCAATGCGCCACAACGCTATATGTTGAACTCGGGATGACCAATGCGCCACAAAGCTATTTGTCGAACTCGGTATGACCAATGCGCAAAAACGCTATATATCGAACTCGGGATGACTGGTGCACAACGACGCTATATGTTGAACTCGTGATGACTGATGTGCCACAATGCTATATGTTGAACTCGGGATGATCGATGCGCAACAACGCTATATGTCGAACTTGGGACAACCGATGCGCAACGCCGCAATATGTCGAACTTGGGATGACTGATGCGCAACGGCGCTATATGTCGAACTTGGGATGACTGATGCGCAACAACGCAATATGTCGAACTCGGGATGGCTGATGCGCAATAACGCTATATGTCGAATTCGGGATGGCTGATGCGCAACAACGCTATATGTCGAACTCGGGATGACCGATGCGCAATAACGCTGTATGTCGAACTTGGGACGACCGATGCACAACGACGCTATATGTCGAACTCGGGACGACCGATGCGCAACGCCGCTATATGTCGAACACGGAATGACCGATGCACAACGACGCTATATATCGAACTCGGGATGACCAATGCACAGCGACGCTATATATCGAATTTGGGATGACCGATGCGCAACAACGCTATATGTCGAACTCGGGATGACCAATGCACAGCGACGCTATATATCGAATTTGGGATGACCGATGCGCAACAACGCTATATGTCGAACTCGGGATGACCAATGCACAGCGACGCTATATATCGAATTTGGGATGACCGATGCGCAACAACGCTATATGTCGAACTCGGGATGACCAATGCACAGCGACGCTATATATCGAATTTGGGATGACCGATGCGCAACAACGCTATATGTCGAACTCGGGATGACCAATGCACAGCGACGCTATATATCGAATTTGGGATGACCCGATGCACAACGACGCTATATGTCGAACTCGGGACGACCGATGCGCAACGCCGCTATATGTCGAACTCGGAATGACCGATGCACAACGACGCTATATATCGAACTCGGGATGACCAATGCACAGCGACGCTATATATCGAATTTGGGATGACCGATGCGCAACAACGCTATATGTCGAACTCGGGATGACCAATGCACAGCGACGTTATATATCGAACTTGGGATGATCGATGCGCAACAACGCTATATGTCGAACTTGGGATGACCGATGCGCAACAACGCTATATGTCGAACTCGGGATGACCAATGCACAGCGACGTTATATATCGAACTTGGGATGATCGATGCGCAACAACGCTATATGTCGAACTTGGGATGACCGATGCGCCACAACGCTATATGTCTAAATCGGGACGGCCAATGCGCAACAACGCTAAATGCCGAACTCGGGACGGCCAATGCACATCGACGCTATTTGTCGAACTTGGGATGACCGATGCACAACGCCGCTATATGTCGAACTCGGGATGGCCGATGCGTCACAACGCTATATATCGAACTCGGGATGATCGATGCGCAGCAACGCTAAATGCCGAACTCGGGACGGCCAATGCACATCAACGCTATTTGTTGAACTTGGGATGACCGATGCGCAACGCCACTATATGTCGAACTCGGGATGACTGATGCGCCACAACGTTATATGTTGAACTCGGGATGACTGATGCGCCACAACGCTATATGTCGAACTCGGGATGACTGATGCACCACAACGCTATATGTCGAACTTGGAATGACCGATGCGCCACAACGCTATATGTTGAACTCAGGATGACTGATGCGCCACAACGCAATATGTTGAACTCGGGACGACTAATGCGCAACAACGCTATATGTCGAACTTGGGATGACTAATGCGCAACGACGCTATATGTCGAACTCGGGACAACCTGTGTTCACGATCTGTGAACAAAACTTTATTAAACGATATTTGTAGTGCTCCTCCCATCCAATAATTACAAGAAGCTTTATACTTTGTTACTCTGGATATGAAGTTTCAGCTTTCAGATTCTGTCAGTTTTACAATGAAATACAAACAAAAATGTTATTTTGACGCTCTTTAAAGGGATAGTTCACCCAAAAATGAAAATTTGATGTTTATCTGCTTACCCCCAGGGCATCCAAGATGTAGGTGACTTTGTTTCTTCCGTAGAACACAAACAAAGATTCCATTTGAGAGACAGGTGGCGGTAATGCACTTATAAGTCTGCGATCGGCTGTAAAGCAAGAAGAAGACGTGTCACGCGTCGGCTGTCGAGGACGCGCTCAGGACAGTTCAGACAGTTCAGACATTGCAGTGCATCAGAGGTAAAAAACGATATAAATACTGTTCAGTTTCTTGCACAGACCGATCGTTTCGTGTCTTTACACATCAATGTATCGTCACGAGCCGCAGGGTTTAATTTGGTTTTGTTTGTGTGTTTTTTTTTACTCTCAAAGCCGTGATTCCCATTCACTTCCATTATAGGACTGACAGACTGCAACGGTTTGAGTTAAAAATCTTTGTTTATGTTCTACTGAAGAAACAAAGTCACCTACATCTTGGATGCCCTGGGGGTAAGCAGATAAACATCACATTTTCATTTTTGGGTGAACTATCCCTTTAATGTGATGTGACAAATCGCTGTAGGGCCTCAGTACAGGCAACATGTGACCTAAACATCTTTCTCTCTTTACTACTAGTTATATCACAAAAACAAACATGCAATAAACATCAGAAGGTATGTTGAAAGAAACAGTACAACTTAATGAAATGTATCATGTCTCATGTAGTCGATTAATCAGTGTTTCAACCGTGGAAAGACCTAATGTTATATTTATCTCAGGTAAGCCAGACAATGTCCGTAATTCATTGGAAAAAAAAAACTCTATTAAAAAATAACTCTAGAGAGGAGCATTTTCCTAAATATAAGCAGTATATGCTCATTACATATGCATTAAATGTGTACTTCACCTGCTGTCTTCATGAAAACAAGTTTTACAGCCACCATTTAAATGGTTATATTTCAACAACGAATTTGAGTAGAAACATAATTATATAATTAAAAAGTTGATATAAAAATTTTTTAAACCTTGCCTTACGTGCAATTTAAATGTTTATATACAACTTATATACAATGTTTTTATTTGAGTGCTGATTATTAAATAAGTTACTTGATTGATTGTTATTATTATTATTTTATTATTATTGGCTGACTGAATTAATACATTTTTGTTTCAGTGTTTCTAAAAAACAATATGCATCACTTCTCAGAATTGCTCATAGATATTCTGATATAAACCTGTCAAATTAGAGCATGCAGTTTTGATAAAGCACTTGCCACTTTTCCATGCAGTATGCAGTGAGGAGAATTTAAACAGTCCATCTTCTCATTTCCGTGTTTTGTCATCCTTATGTTCCTGTTGTGTGTGTCATGTACAGCTCTATGACACCCGGCCTCGGTTCTCACATATTCATCATAATGCCTGTTTGCTGTCAGATGGCGGGGTCTGTCTGCTGCACAGAACCTAGTCTGAGA